GCGTATTACTGCCATTACTTTTACCACTATGAAGCAACAAAACAAAAGTTCAAAAGATACAAAGATTGGCTCATTGTTATGACCACTCAAATTCTACAACATATGATCACAAATTTATTTGCCCATAAATGCACTGCAGATCTCGGAAAGGAAAGAAGTAGAATAACTTTAATACCGTAAAAGTAAAACGCGACTCTGTATTGCATATGTAACACAGTCATTTTTTGATATTAGCCTTGCGAAAGTAGGTAATCCACAGCGCGTTCTAGGTTGCCGTCGCTAGCACGAAGAGCAGCAATTCCGTCGGCTTCGCTCTCAAACCCCATTTTAGCCAGCTGCTCTAATTCCCTCCTGTACTGCACTCGTGCTCTATCATTCACTTTGCTGGCAGCATCAGAGGCAGGTGGGGCAGGTGGAGGTGGTCTTGGCGGAGGGGGTGCTGGGGACCTTGGCCGTCGAGCAACCGCTTCTTCTCTTTCTTCTGCGTTTGCTGGGTCGCTGGAACCGTGTCCGCAAAGCATTTCACCTAAATTGGGTGCTTCTCTGTGAATCACTTGCATTTCAAGCTGTATCCTTCGCATAGCAGCCAGAACACGAGGATTCTTCATGGCTTCGACAAACTCTGGGCTGCGCATGATGTCCACAAATCGTGGCAGACGCTCTCGAATCTGCTCAATATGCTGCTGATTTTCAGCGCTGGAATTTTGTTCAAAAGCCAAGTGAAAGCCATCAGGATGTTTCTGAAGATTCTGCATTACCAACTCCATCATCTCCAACCACATAATCAACTGTATAGTTGCTTCGTCGGAGGTAACGCTTTTGAAAAAAGACTCGGTCCTGGCCAGACTTATATGTCTATTCCCATCAGGAACGTTTTGTTGTGAACTCTGTTGTTGGTTGCTAGAATCATTTGTTTGCGAACCGGCTTGCTCTGCACCGTTTCCCTGAACAACCCTTCGCCTTTGAAGTGATTGCGCATTGTTTATAGAATCTGCAAAATAATGGCTGGAGATTTATCAGTGCTAGTAGCTTAGTCACTTCAGCGATAGGTAATTTATACGTTTTTATCTGACAACCAAATTTCCGTGATTTCAAAGTTCCGCCGAAAGCTGAGT